GATCACCTGAGGTCAGGAGTTCCAGACCAAACAAGCCAACATGGTGAAACCCTGTCTCTACTAAAAATCAAAAATTAGCTGGATGTGGTGGTGAGCACCTGTAATCCCAGCTACTCGGGAGGCTGAGGCAGGAGAATCGCTTGAACCCAAGAGTCAGAGGTTGCAGTGAGCTGAAATTGCGCCACTGCACTCCTGCCTAGGCTAGAGCCAGACTCTGTTTCAAAAAAAAAAAACAAAAACCCACAACAAAACAAAAAAACAATTATCCCAGATATTATTATCCACTCTCATAATCTGTATTTGTAAAATACTTGAGCAAAGTAGACAGCTATGCTGTTTTGCTTTAAACTCTCAATTAACTCTGGTCAGATTTATTAGTACAAATAAGTAATCCCAGGCTGGGATGGCCTATCTCCAGCATCTGGGAATCACCTCCTGGCCCTTCACCAAATCAGGATATGCATTCTGGAAAAACCAGGTCATATTAACACTGGCCTGAATTAAACCAAAATCAGTAGGTGAGCCTGAGCATATTAAAGTGAAGGAAATAGTTGCTGGACTTCTGTGCCATTATCTCCTCTATTATATGGAATCTATTCCTCTATTATATGTAATCCCATTACAGTCAGACCTTTAACATGTAACAGTGAGAGTCATCTTCCTATCAGTGGACCCGGTTAACATGCTAACATGTATGATTAATGTAACAATCACTTTATGGTCAGGCATGGTAGCTCATGCCTGTAATTCCAGCACTTTGGGAGGCTGAGGCGGGTGGATCTATAGAATGGAATCTATTTCCCTTATCCTGTGATCTAGTTTGGATCTACATCCCTGCCCGAATCTCATACTGAAATGTAACCCCCACTGTTGGAGGTGGGGCCTGGTGGAGGGTGACTGGATCATGGGGGTGGGATTCTCATGAATGGTTTAGCACCATCCCTGTTGATACTGTCCTCGAGACAGTGAGTTCTTGTGCAATCTGATCGTTTAAAAGTGTGTGGCGCCTCCCCCTTGCTCTCTTGCTCTTGCTCTGGCCATGTGACCTGCCTGCTCCCACTCTGCCTTCCGCCATGACTGGAAGCTTGCTGAGGCCTCCCTGGCAGTGGATGCTGCTATGCTTCCTATACAGCCTGCAGAACTATGAGCCAATTAAACCTCTTTTCTTATAAATTACCCAATCTCAGGTATTTCTTTACAGCAAGCTGAGAACAGACTAATACACCCCTGTGGCTCCTCCCTTTAACTAAAGGGGAATTACAAGTATCAACCCAAAGTTCTAGCTATGACAGAACTCACATTAAAAGAAAAAATATGTCTACCACATCGCTGGATTATCAGAATATACAGAGGATGTGCCCAAGTAAATGAGGTCCAAATCAACCTTCAAGACATCTACCACCATACAGGCAGTTCCAATGTGTCAAAGACAGTTGCCCACATGCCCTTCTAATATAAAAAATGCTTTACAAGACCAAAGGGTGTCACTTTATCTCCTGATCTCATTTTCCCCATCACCTGTACCCATAAATTTTTAAATTAAACAGCAAAGCATGACATTAAGAGTTCATGTCTCTTGACTCAAACCGAAACCTAACAATGTAGAGAGTCTCTTAAGGACTTACCAATCTTGACTCTCGATCCAAGGGGCCAGAAACTGCCGCAGCTCCATTGGGAAGCTGTCACTGTAGAGCTGATGGAGCTGCTCCAGGTACCGTGTGTCAAGCTGCTGTAGCTGATTCCATTGGGCCATCCTGCTAAAATCAGGGGTCCCAACTGTAAACCAAAGTGTGTATATGGTCACCACAAGTCCCAGTAGGGGTAAATAATCTAGAAGTAGCCATTGCCCAACACAGGTGTCAGGTCTATGACTAGGGATAAAGATGTTCTGGGGAGGACCCTGCTTCTTTCTCCCAGTTTATTTTTAAAAACTAGAGATGGGGTCTTCACCATGTTGCCCAGGCTGGCCTTGAACTCCTGGACTCAAGTGATCTCCCACCTCGGCCTCCCAAAGTGCTGAGATTACAGGCATGAGCCAACACACCCAGCCTGTTTCTCCCAGTTTAGAACAATACAAACACATTCACAATCTCCATCTTGGGATAATCACAGCTTTTTTTTTTCTTATTTTTTAAAGACAGAGTCTTGCTCTGTGGCCCAGGCTAGAGTGCAATGGCATGATCGTGGGCTCAAGAGATCCTCCCACCTCAGCATCCCAAGGAGCTGGGACTATAGGCACATACCACCATGCCACACTCGTTTTTTACAACATGTTTTGTGAGACAAACAAAACATGCCCAGGCTGGTCTTGAACTCCTGGGCTCAAGTCATCCTCCTGCCTCGGCTTCCCAAAGTGCTGGGATTACATATGTGAGCCACCGCATCTGGCCACACATCTCTTTTTTGTAGACAAGGTCTTGCCTGTCACCTAGGCTGGAGTACAGTGATGCAATCACAGCTTACTGCAGCCTCAAACTTCTGGTCTCTAGCAATCCTCCCACCTCAGCCTCCCAAGTAGCTGGAACTACAGTCACGTGCCACCGCTTTTTTTTTTTTTTT